GTCACTGCGCTGTATACGACAGCACTGCTGACTACACTGATCCTGAGGACGACGGAGCCCAGACCCACTGATCCTCCCTCTCTCTGTCTCTCTCTCTCTCTCTCTCTCTCTCTCTCTCCCTCTCTCCCTCTCTCCTTCCTCTCTCCCTCCTCTCTCCCCCTCTCTCTCTTTCTGTCTCTCTCTCTCTCTCTGTCTGTGTCTCTCTCTCTCTCTCTCTCTCTCTCTGTCTCTGTCTGTCTCTCTCTCTCTCTCTCTCTCTCTGTCTCTGTGTGTCTCTCTCTCTCTGTCTTTGTGTGTGTGTGTCTCTCTCTCTGTCTTTGTGTGTCTCTCTCTCTCTCTCTCTCTCTCTCTCTCTCTCTGTCTTTGTGTGCTCTCTCTCTCTCTGTCTTTGTGTGTGTCTCTCTCTCTCTGTGTCTCTCTGTGTCTCTCTCTCTCTCTCTTTCATTTTTCTTTCTTTCTATTTCCTTTTCAGTCTTTTTCGTCTTTCCTTCAGTCGTTCTTTGTTTTTTCTTTTCTTTCTTCCTTTCTTTTTCTTTTTCTTTTTTCATTGTTGCTTAAGTTTTTAATCTTTATCTTCTTTCTTTCAGTCATTTTCTTTCACTCCATCTTTTCTTTCCTTGTTTTATTTTTTTTCCATTTCTTCTTTCTTTCTTTTCATTTGCTCTTTCTTGCTCTTTTCATTTCTTTCTTGTATTCTTTGTTTCTTTCCTTCCTTCTTTCTTTCTTCCTTCCTTCACTCATTCTTTCTAATTTTCTTTCTTTCCTTTCTTCTTTTCTTTTTCAATCTTTTTCTTCCTCCAGTCTTTCTTTCTTTCTTTCTTTTTTTCTTTTTAATGTTTTTCCTTCAGTCATTCTTTGTTTCTTTTCTTTTTGTTTTATTTTCTTCCATTCTTTTTCTTTTTGAATTTTTTTCTTTTCTTTTTTTGTTCTTTCTTTCTTTTTTCTTTCTTTCTTTCTTTCCTTTTAATATTTTTCCTCAATCCTTTAGTCATTCTGTTTTTTTCTGTTTTAGTTTCTTCCATGCTTTTTCTTTCTTTCTTTCTTTCTTTCTTTTTCTTTTTCTCTTTTCTTCCTGTTCATCTATCTATTTTTTTCTCTATATCTTTCCTCTCTATCATCCTTTTCTGTGACTCTTTGCTCAGTAATGTTATTTTATGATTTATATTTTTTGCGTCACAAGCTCTGTATTCATTTGAGGAATAGCAAAACTATTTATAATGGTCTGTTTTTTATGTATTTAATGTCTTAAAAGCCTTTTTCCAGACATTTCTCATCTTTTAGGTTAGATTGCATAGACAGCAGTAATCGGGGTGTTTTATAATGCTGTGGTTTGAATACTGTGAATATAAACAGCTCCTTATGAACTGACAGTCACTGTGTTGGTGTTTTTGATGGTTTTGGTACATTTTCTACATCAAAAGAATTTTATTGTGATACAATTAAAATATTAGTTATATAATATTTTAGCTGATGTAACAGTAAATCAAAAGGGGGGTGCAGTTTTATAAGGTGGGGGTTATATTTGCCACCCCCCCCCCACCTGCCTCAAATCGAGCCTGGCCTGAACCGGCAGAGTGTGGGGGTGTTTGAGAGAGATAGAGCGAGGGAGAGAGGAGCGAGTGTGTGAAAAGCAGGGGGAGAGTAATAAGTAAATTAAGATCTATCAGATAGCGGAGCGAGCAGAGGCGGACCCCCCCCTCCAGCGCCGCCTTATCGCTCTTCCTGAAGGAGGTAAACAATTTCCTAAACATGAAAAATGTCTTATCTGAATCTAATAGTGGGGCTGATTTATTTCTTCTCTGGATTGCGAGGGGAGAAAAACGTGAACGCGGTGAAGCAAAAACAATCCCACCACACCAGCGTTAATGAGATCTTCTGCAATTCTCCTCCAGAACCAGAGCGGAGGCCCCTGGGTGTGATTTTCCAGCCGTTTTGATTGACAGTTCGTGCCTCGATTCTTCCGTCGCCAGTCCAGTTAGCTCCACTCAGGAGGGTCAGCGTCAGTCTCCTCAGCTGTGTCTTCATCACGTGGTTTAGATTATAGCCCTTGGTTTGGTTTCAGTGTTGAGTGTCCGTTGGCGTTTTTCCTGCGTTCGTTTTCCCACCTCGGTTCACTTCTGTACTTCCAGTAACACTTTCTGTGAATACTGTGTCTATAAGACACTATGAACACATTTGTGCCATGTAATGCATTCATAAAGCATCATAAATGTGGCTATAAATATTTATAAAAATGTATTACATGGTTACTACGCATTGTGAATTGTGCTATAATGCATTATTAGTACACACTTAGAAAAGATGGCTCTTCAAGGGTTCTTTAGAAAAGAAAATGGTTCTGTATACAACCATGAACACTCGAAGAACCCTTTGCAAGGTTTCTTGCATCATGAAAAGGTTCTTCAGATTGATGGGGAATGTGCTACATATGGTTCTATATGGAACCTTCTGGAAAATGGCTCTGTATAGTACCAAAAGGGTGGTTCTAGTGTTACGATGTCAGACTATTTTGGGCACTACATAGAACCTTTTTAAAAAAGGTTCCATATAGAACCATCTGTAGCGCATTCATGCACATTTTCCATCAATCTGAAGAACCCTTTCATAAAGCAAAGAACCCTAATAGTGCTACACTCTCTTAAAAAAGATGGTTCTTCAAGGGATTCTTTAGTAAACAAAATGGTTCTATACAGAACCATGAACAAAGAACCATTTGCATGAATGTTCTTTGCTTTATGAAAGTGTTCTTCAGATTGATGGATAATGTACATAAATGTGTTGTAGATGGTTCTGTATAGAACCTTTTTGAAAAGGGTTCTGTATAGCACCCAAAAGGGTGGTTCTATTATTACCAGCTTGACACATTTTGGGTGCTATATAGAACCATCTACAGCACATTCCCCATCAGTCTGAAGAACCTTTTCATGATGCAAAGAACCCTTTAATCATGCAAAGGGTTCTTTGAGTGTTCATGGTTCTATATAGAACCATTTTCTTTTCTAAAGAACCCTTGAAGAACCATCTTTTTTAAGAGCGCATGTCAGTAAGACACTATGAACACATTCATAGCATGTAATGCATTCATAAGGCGTTATAAATATTTATAAAAATGTGTTACATGGTTACTCCGCATTATAAATGATGCTATAATGCATTACAAGTAGTATTCATAACATGTCAGTGCTAAGTGAGTCCCTTTGCAAGACGTTGCAATACAAATTGAAACAGTTATAACATTTAGTCCATTCTAGATATTTATAATTCATAAGCTGTCAAAGTTGAGTCTTCGGCAGTATAACATGTCATGAACAGTGCTTATAATGCATTATGTTAACAATTCATTATAAACATGAATATAAATTGTAATACATTTTTCTACATACTAATAGCCCTGCTTATAGTGCCCTTTGACAGCAATAACGTGTTATAAATGTGTTCGTAGGTTCTTATAGCTACAGTGTTCATAGAAAGTGTTGGCGTACGTTCATACTGTTTGCTTCCTGTTTGCTCTTATTAGCTGGACTGTAAATATTCCTATTTTGTAAATCTGTTGTTGTTATTTGACATTTTCTGAACTGTCTGTATCAAAAATAAAAGACCCCGAGGTCTACAGGAAACTCCGCGCACCATCGTTCAAAAGTTTGGAATCAATTTTCCATATTAATATCATATAATATCATAATCGTATTAATAATTGTTACATTATTCAATAATAACTAAGAATAAGAAACCGTGCAAATTGATTTATAACATTAATATATTGTTTTTGTAGTATAAACAATCTGTTATTCAATATGAATTTTTTTTACAAACTTCATTCTGGATTATTATTGTTTTATTTTATTGTGAAGTTTATTGTGACTTGTATTATAAGGAGAAGTCCAGTGATTTTTCAAAATTTCTTGCATAATTAAATGTATGGCCGTCTCGGCTGTGAACTGACTGATATTTCTGCTACACGAAATTCAGCGCAAACCTAAAATGGTACAGTGGTATGGTGTGCAAAAGTCTAAATACCCAAGTGAACATAAGTTAACCAGGCTTCTAGAAGCAACTTAAATGTGCCATTTTCTGCTAATTTGGTGTAGAATTTATACTTATTACTGATAAAACCCATAAAATATAAAATGTGCCATAACTTTTGCACAGGCCATATTTATTTTTCCTAATATATTAAATTCAGCAAGTAAACAGTAGTCATGCACTAAACTCTGCAGCAGTGTGTTATATGTAGAGGATGTTTTGACTTATTTACACTTAAATGATGGCAAGCATGTCATTTGACCACAATTCTGCATACAGTTGTATTTTTGTATGTATATGACTTGGTATATTTACTTTTTATGCTATGTTGTTTTCTGCATTTAGCTGTAAACAGGCGCACTAAAGTCATTCAGAGTGGCTTGTTTTGGAATTGACTCATCATTTTCTTCGTGAGCTGTTTTTCCTTAGAACGCATGTATCCCTCCGCCACGAGCAGATTTCAAAAAACATGTTTTAAGCCAAAATCTTCTCAGAACTATCATAAAACAGTGTCTGAGACATCAGGCAGTGAATTCATAACCATTTCATGTAGGAACTTTCTGTGAGGGAGCTTTTAGAGGTGGACGTCTGGTTCTCTCCGTCTGGTGGACTCTAAGTTTCTCTAGAACAGAGCGTTTCACACCAAACCACTCTGAACGACTCTGTTTACGTCTCAACCACTTAATTATGCAGAATTTTTTTTTTTAAATTGTGGAATTCATCTTTTATACTCTGTTCATCATTAACAAAATTTCATCTTTTTTATTCAAATTATTACAATTTCATATAATTATCTGCAGCCAAATTGGTTTTATGTTATTAATAAACATTCTAAATTAATTTGTATTATTATTATTATTATTATTATTATTATTATTTTAATGAAACAATTGAAAACAGAATTTTAAACGTTGATTCCAAAGTTTTGAACGCTGGTGCACATCCTCAGATTTATTACACACTCTGTTCCAGGACGGTCACATGACGGAGCAGCGGTTCCTCTGCAGCGCCCCCTGCAGGCGGATGGAGGTGTGGTTGTGGCGCAGGCCGCGCGCCACCGCGATGCCCAGCAGCTCTTTGAAGAGCAGCAGCACGTGCCAGTTGTACTTGGCCGAACACTCCACGTAGCCGCACTTCCAGGTTTTCTTCACCAGCACGGAGACGGCCCTGCGCTGAGTGAAGCGGTGCCTCTGCAGGTCCCGCTTGCTGCCCACCACCAGGATGGGCACCTCACTGCTACTGCCCTCCCTGAGAAAGGTGAAGAGGAGAGGAGAAAGGAGAAGTGGTGAAGAGGAGAAAGGAGAGGACAAGAGAAGAGAGGAGAGGAGAAAAGAGAAGGAAGAAGAGAGTTAAGTTACCCCTATTAGTCCCATAACGGGGAAATTTCACTTGCGTGCAGGAGAGGAGAGAAATGAAGAGAGGAAAGGAGCAGAAGAAAAAAAAGCAGAAAAAAGAAAAGGGAATAAAGAGAGATAAAATGTGAAAAGAAGAGGAGATGAGAAAAGAGAAGAAGAGAGGAGGAGATAAAAGAAGAGAGGAAAGGAGAAAAGAGAAGAGAAAAGAGAGGGAAGGAGAAAAGAGAAGAATAGAAAAGAAGAGAGGAAAGGAGAAAAGAGAAGAAGAGATGAAAGGTGAAAAGAAGAGATGAGAAAAGAGAAGAAGAAGAGATGAAAGGAGGAAAGTGAAGAAGAGATGAAAGGTGAAAAGGAGATGAGAAAAGAAAAGGAGAGGGGAGGAGAAAAGAGAAGAAGAGAGGAAAGATGAAAAGAAGAAGAGGAGGGGTGTGGAGGAGAAGAAGAGAGGAGATAAAAAAGAGAAGAAGAGGAGCGGAGGAGAAAAGAGGAGAGGAGACGATGAAAAGAGAAAAAGGAGGAAGAGAGCCAAAACACAGGAGAGGAGAAACGGGTGAGAAGAGACCAGAGGAGAAACAGTAAGAGAAATTAGATGAGAGGAGGAGATGACAGTTGAAAAGGAAAGGAGAAAAAATGAGAATAAGAGAAGAGGAGACGAAAGGTAAGGACGAGAAAACAGAAAAAAGAAGAGGACATGAAAGGAGTGAGAGGTGATGAGAAAAGAGCGGGAGATGAAAGGAGAAAAGAGGGAGAGAGGAGAGAGAAAAGGAGAGAGGTGGAAGAGAAGGAGAAACAGGAGGTGAAGTGTGCGGAAGAAAAGAGAAAAGGAGAAATGGACAAACGAGGAGAGCAGGAAAGAGAAAAGGAGGGGAAAAAAGAAAAGAAGAGAAGAGAGGAGGTGAGCAGAAGGTAAGGAGGAGAAGAGAGGGGGGGGGGAGAGAAAAGACGAACAAATGAAACGTTAATGGAGCAAACACAGTCTAAAGGGACTGGACGCGAGCCGCTGTTTACACACAGAGCCAGTGATGGAGTGATGAGTCTCCGCTCGTCCTTCTCGCCGCGTCCTTCACGCCTGAAGGTCAGACGCAGTGAGGCTCTGACTGTTAATGAGGCTCTTCAGTAGCATGTGTTCTGTGTTGTATTCACTCTGATTCACTGAGCCGTGATTGGGTTACGGAGCTGCGACAGCGCGGATCATGTGACACGTGTGACACAATTGGCAGTTTTCCAGTTGATCTGGTTGTTTTTCCCCTCAGCGTCTGTGTTTACAATCAGTAAACCATCCTGTAATGACTGCATTACTGCAGTTCATCAGATCAGTGTTGAAATCCACTTTGATGTGATTCGGTTTTATTTCTTATGGTTTTGTTTTGATATCAAGGGCCAAAACTGCATGTTGTCTTATACACTATAACCCCAACTGGCCATTGTTTATTCAAAATACACAAAAAGGTCAGCAGTAAAATACACAGATCAGGCGTAACATTATGACCACCTCCTTGTTTCTATCACTCATTGTCCATTTTATCAGCTGCACTTACTATATAGGTGCACTTTGTAGTTCTACAGTTACAGACTGTAGTCCATCTGTTTCTCTGCATACTTTGTTAGCCCCCTTTTACCCTGTTCTTCAGTGGTCAGGACCCCCATGGACCCTCACAGCAGCAGGTACTATGTGTTGCGCTGGTCTGAGTGGATCAGACACAGCAGTGCTGCTGGAGTTTTAAACCCTTCAGTGTCACTGCTGGACTGAGAATAGTCCACCAACCAAAAATATCCAGCCAACAGCGTCCTGTGGGCAGCGTCCTGTGACCACTGATGAAGGACTAGAGGATGACCAACACAAACTGTGCAGCAGCAGATGAGCTATCGTCTCTGACTTTACATCTACAAGGTGGACCGACAAGGTAGGAGTGTCTAATAGAGTGGACAGTGAGTGGCCTATGAATACAGGCTTCATAGAAAGACTTGGCAGTTCTTCTTATGAGTCATCTAAATGAGATCTTAGAAACCCAAGGCCTCTTATTCACACGTGAGATCTGTCTCTCTCTCTCTCTCTCTCACGCTGTCTCTCTCTCTTGCGCTCAGACAGAGTGATTGGGGGTCTAATCAGTACTATTAAAGCTTCCTTGCCTCCACCTCTGAAGGCTTTTGTGGCTGGTGGATTGGCCGAAATGCTATTTCCAGAGTTGATTGTCAGCCCCTCTGTTTCCCAACCTACTGAAGGGCAACTTCTCTCTCTGAGTGGGTTACAGAAGTTGCCTTTCTCAACAGCTGGAAGGAAGGCTCTGTACCAGAGCTGTGTTAAATACTTGCACTTTCATGAGCTGAAGGAGAGACGTGACTCCAAATAGAGAGCCCATCTCTCTGTCCCTGAGGGTCTGCGGCCTTCATGGAGGCTCTTGTACAAAAGCCCCTTGCCCAAGCGTTCAGGAGACCTCCAGTGCAGGATCCTTCACTGTGCTGCACCCTAAAATGGGTTTGTGTCAAAATTTAACCCGGCTGTTCAACCACTTTGCATTTTCTGTAATAACCCAGATACTGTTTTTCATGCTTTTTCCGACTGTCAAAAACTGGTTCCTCTGTTCGAGCTCCTGGACAGGGCGCTCAGAGGGCTGGTTCCTCTGTTCGAGCTCTTGGACAGGGCGCTCAGAGGGCTGGTTGCTCTGTTCGAGCTCCTGGACAGGGCGCTCAGAGGGCTGGTTGCTCTGTTCGAGCTCCTGGACAGGGCGCTCAGAGGGCTGATTCCTCTGTTCGAGCTCTTGGACAGGGCGCTCAGAGGGCTGGTTGCTCTGTTCGAGCTCCTGGACAGGGCGCTCAGAGGGCTGGGGTCTCTGTTCACCTGGACTCTGTTTATCTTTGGCTGTAAATACTCTAAAGCTCAGCGTTATAAATGTACCTTGGCTAATTTTTTAGTGGGACAAGCTGAGTTATCAGTGTGGAAGTCCTTCAGGTCGGTGTCTGAAGGGCAGGAGGTGGATGTTCTGAAACTGTTCCGAGCTCTAGTAGAGTCACGCATTAGAGCTGAATTTGTTTTTTATCAAAGTACTCAGAACATTTCCTGTTTTGAGAGAAAGTGGTGAGCTGGTGAAAGTGTTGTATCTGTCAGTGATCTGGGTGTGATATCATTTCATGGGTGAATCTTTGTGGATGGGTGGATCTTCTTTGGGGATCCTCATTATTATTAATATAACTATTAGCTCTTTACTGTAGGATGGAACATCCTTTAATCATTAATGCTTCAATAAAAGGGGGTTAAAAGTCAAAAGTCTCTCTTGCTCTCTCGCTCTCTCTCTCGTTGTCTCTCTCTCTCTCGCCCTTGTTAGATACACTGATACAAACCGTATTTGATAATCCTACAAATCCCTAACGCGTCTCTCTGTGTTCTGATCCTTTTTGCTCCTCCCTCCTTTTTTCTTTCTCTCTATTTTCTCTCTTATGCCTTTTCTCTCTCTTTCCCCCTCCCTCCCCTTTTCTCTCTTTCCTCTCTCTCTTTCTGTCTTTTTCTCTCTTTTTTGTCTCTCTATTTTTCTCTTATGCTTTTCTCTCTCTTTTCTTCCCCCTCTCTCTTTCTCTGTGTTTTCTCTTTATTCTCTCTTACTCTCTCTCTTTCTCTCCTCCCTCTCTTTCTTTCTTTCACCTCTGTCTCTTTCTCTTTCTTCTCTCTCCTTTCCTTCCTCTCTCTCCCTCTCTCTTTGTTCTCTTCATCTCTTTCTGTCTTTTTCTCCCTTTTTCACTCTCTCCCTATCCCTTTCTCTCTCTGTTTTTCTTTCTCTTTCCCTGTCTGTCTTTTTTCTCTTTCTCTCTGTCTTTTTTTCTTTCTCCCTTTCTCTTTTTCTCTTTCTCTCTTCCTCTGTCTTGTTTCTTTTTCTATCTCCTTTTCTTTTCTCTCTCTCTCTTTTTCTCTTCCTTTCTTTCTCTTTGTCTTTTGCTCTCTTTCTTTCTCTCCCTATCCCTTTCTCCTTTCTTTCTCTCTGTCTTTCTCTCTCTCTCTGTCTTTTTTCTCTTTCTTTCTTTCTTTCTTTCTTTCTCTCTTTCCCTCTCCCTTCCTCTCTCTCTCTTTTTCTTTGTTTCTCTCTCTTTTTCTTTCTCTCTTTCCCTCTCTGTCTTTTTCTTTCTCTGTTTTTCTGTCTCTCTCATTCTTCCTCTCCTTCTCTCTTTTGGTCTCCCACCCTCACTCTCTATCTCTCTCTCTTTTCTCTCTCTCTCTCTCCTCTCTCGCTCTCTCTCTCTCTCTCTCTCTCGCTCTCTCTCTCTCTTTTCCTCTCTCTCTCTCTCTCGCTCTCTCTCTCTGATGATATTGTTCACTTTATCAGTATGCGCTGTGCAGTGCAGGTCTGTGGCGTCTCTATTGCAGCTTATTGTGTTTTGTCCTTTTAAACAGTTCATGGATAAAAACAACAAAATAAACTGAGTTCACTGTTTTCTCAACCTCACAGCACTAACGTATGCGATAGACAACACTGCACTGTATTCATTATAAAGTACCTTTTTAGCTCAGTTTGATTGAGTATTATTTGTAAATTGGATATAATTTGAATAATATTCATATAATCAGCCATTTGTAGTGAATTCTCTGTGAAAAATCTTTCTCCTGTTTCATTTGTCGTTCTGCAGTCAGTTCACTATATACAGGCTGTGTAGTGAACAGTGATCGAGTTAACGAGTGACCCAGACAGAACGCAGCAGGAGAGTGCGCTTCATTAACGAGCTCACCTCCCCAGGAAAGAAGGGCACCTAATTAGTGAAATCAGGACATACACGGCCAGGGCAATCACCTTCAGACATTACTGACCTTCATAGGCTGAGTTTATAACCTCAGGCTGAAGCTTAATACCACATCAGCATACGAATACATCCTTTATGTAAATACACCCATCAGCCATAACATTATGA